ACCACTGACAGATGAAGTGAATAACATTGATTATCTCGTTACAAGACAGTGTTCTGCAGGTAAACCTTGGGTCCTGGAATTCAAGTGGACTTTGACATGTAGTGCCTACCAAAATGCTGTTGCTTTCTCTTTCTCTGCAATCCATGTCTCTCTCCCGCTTTTTCCTGTTTAAAGAGATATCCCCCCCCCCCCGGATTACTGGATTTGCTGTGATTATCTCCATAAGAAAAAAATATTATTGCTCAAAGAATGGCTTCAGAAACATGACAGAGTCCAAGGCTTCCAAATCCCCAGATCCCAATCCAATCAAGCATCCACGTGATGTGCCAGAACAAGCCTGATCCACAGAGGTCCCAGTTCAAGACACGGCAGGATCCCTCAGAGGTTTACACCCTGATAGGTCAGAACTGTTTTTAGCAGGTAGTTTTCATGTTTTTTACTGATCAGTGCCACTAATAAATCTAAAAAGAGTCTTTATTCTATTCAGGTAAGTAATCATTACTCACTGGGACGGCCGATTAAAGTAAATTTAAACTATGCTTTACCTACAGCCTAATTTATATTTGTATCCAGAAGCATACACTATAACTGTGAAAAAAACTTTAAGTATTACTGGTATCCCGACTCCATAAAATCAATAAAAAGTATTTTTAGCAATTCTCTTGTTTGATTATGGTAATTCAGCTGAGTCTGCAGCATTAATATCATAATTATTTGTTTAAACTTAAAGGATAGTACGTTCGATCAATCCAGTGGCCTCTGCACCACTGAAATAAACCTGCAGTTATTTTAAGATTATTCTATCTTTGTAAAGTCAACCCTCATCTTTTGCAAAAACACAGTTTTTTTTACTTCAGCAAATGAGACCCACACTTGTGTGAGTTTGTGTCAAGGGTTATGGAGAGGAACAAATGAAACGCTATTCCTCTCAGGCTGAGGACAACTTTACTTAAATAAACTGTAAAAGTTTTAAGGTTTTTTTTGGATGGAAATGTTTCTAAATCTAGACAGCCACTTTCAGGATGAAAACTTTTTCATGTGGGTGCATAGATTCTCGGTCGGCCTTTAGCACCTTTATAATTTGATTTTCTCACCAGTTTAATTTGAGATTTAAATACATTAAGTGAATTTAAACTTTGTGTCCACAACATGGGCTTTTAATAGCAAGCTTAGACCTGAACTTAGTTATATTTTTCAACATAACTTTCCCCTCATGTTTAAAGACAGTCCTGACTGTTACATTCGTTTTTTGCAACTTTGTAGCCCTCGTTGGCAATCACACCTGTGGAAAGCCCCGAAGGTCCAGATGTCAACGTTGTTCCACCAATAGTAATACAATGTTTGCTGACCTCAAGCATGATTTCTACAGCCGAAGTACAGCAACACTGGTTGGTAACATTAGTCACGGAGGCAAACATGCTCACATACACAACTTTCTCTCTCACCAACACCATGAAAACATTTTAAATGTACACCACCACCATGTGTGATAATTTGGTTGGTACTCTTTTTGCTGTAACACACTTCTGGTGAGTTGGCAAAGACATAGAGACGACAGGAGAATTATTAGAGCAACAGCAGACACTTGGAGGCGTATCACAGCTTGAGTGACCTGTCTGCATCAGTAAGTGACTTTCTAACTGCTTAAATTTTCTTTGCAACCTCATGTTGAAACAAGATATTTTGGTTGAAAACTTTATGACTCGTTTTTTTCAGAATTGGAAGCTCAAAACGATCTCCTTTTTCATTTTATTGTCTATGTTCTTTGATTAAACTGATTATTTATGACATTTACAAGCAGAAGTTTAACGCAACATTGCTGAATAGTTCTGTTGTCTGCCAGCAATATTTATATCGGTGGTTTTTGCTATTTATTGCTCATAATGAGTTTAAAGTCTCTGTCATAAAAACAGATTTCATGTGTCATGCTGTGTCTGCTAATACTGTCCAGTGTACACAAACATTATGTTGGAAAATTACTGAAAGGAGCATTTATCTAGATGGATTTTCTGATTGTATTTTAGAATCGAATTAGGCTTAATACAAGCATTTGTAATTCTCTTTTAATTTATCTACACAGTATCCATGTTGTGTTTCTTTTAGCTTTGAATGTGTAAAATCAAAACTACCAACAGGTAAGAGGGAACAAGAAGTGAAGTGTTGGTAACATTTATCCTCTGTGGATCAGGTATGAGTAATCATTGCAGCACTCTTAGATATGTTTTCACCTGATCTTTTCAGTTCTTCCATGTTAACCTAACATGTAACCTTGTGTGGCTACATTACAAAATTGTGAAAAATTGTAAAAAAAAAAAAAAGAAAAAGAAAAAAAAAAAGAAAAAAGAAAGAAAGAAAGAAAGAAAGAAAGAAAGAAAAAAATAGCACATACGTGTCAATATTGCTTTTTCACAGAAGACATTTTGACACATGCTGATGTAAATTAGAAAATGAATGATGGATGAATTCCATTTAGCTGCTTTAGTTTCAAGGTCCTGCTATTGTGCATGCTGGCCCAGTATCACATTACCATGACTTACTGAGACACTTGAATAAAACACACCTATTGATATTGCAGGTATAGTTGTGCTTTCAGTACTGAGGCAAAATGTTTGTAGACAACAAAAGGCCTATTAAAGCAAGCAAAAGCACAGATATTCATACATTTAAAACAAAGAGCGTAAGAGCTTTGTTGAGACATCACTGCCTCAAGTGCAAACTTAAATAACATTCTAATTTATAAACTGCTGCAGGAATAATACTGCAGCTGAAAAATGTATTCATTTGTCTAATTATATTGACCCAAACTGACACTATGTATCATTAATTTATACTTTTATGTTAAGCAGATATGCTGTACCTATTATAGCTATGTGTTTAGGGTGCAAAGAGCAACTCATGCATTATTCCAACTTTTTTTTTTGGCTTGCAATACAGTGACTTGTTACCACAGCGGTGATTTGGATGACAATTAAATAGTAATGTGATAACAATTAACTTCAATGGTGCTGCCTGATCGCTCTCAGTTTTTATAGGTTTAAAAAAAATGCAAACCTACCCTATTGCAATTGTCATTTGCCAACTAAGTTGTAGTTTACATCTAAGTCTGTCCAGACTGATATATTTGGTGAAGACTTTAAAGTGTGCAAGTTCACTGAGAGAAACAGAGACAGAGCAGCTTTTGTATCATGAATCTTAACAAGCACCTCAAAGTGTTAAAGTGGAATCTGGGAGTTCTTTTAGGCTGCAGGTTTGTGAGTTCTGCAACTCCAATAAGGATGATTCTGATAGAGCAGAAAGTGATAGCAATAGCAACAGACAGTGCTTCAGATTTGGATGTTGCTGCAAAGAAGCAAGACATCTACAACTGGGCAGCACTGAAGATATGTACAACCCCCACTGTTTCAAGAGAAGCACCCAAGATTAGTGTCACCAGTTCAGTATCTGGCCATATGGAAAGTATGGCCACAGTCTCTCCTTCTGTTCCTGAGCTATTGTGTTAACTTGACTTCACTTAACTTAACTTGAGGAAATGACAAGTTAAATGGTGCATAATATATATATTTTTAATGTGATTCCCTTCTAAATTGCTCTGAGCTTTACACATTTATTTCACTTTCGTGGGTGAAATAAAATATACAATCGAGGTTTAGATTAAAAAATAAACGAATAAAAAACAAAAAAAATTGTCAAGATTTATATTTTAATCCATGAAAGTTTTATAAGACTCCTCTTAAATTAGACTTTTCCAAAAATCCTTGATCTTATGCTCCATCTATGCCCTAGTTTGTAATGTAGGTTTACTGTGTAGCAACCTCCAACAGGTTTACTGTTGGAGGTTACAATTCCAGGCTTTCCACTTCTCCATGCATCTTGGAAAGGCGTAAAATGTCTAAATTCCCTCCTCTGTTTCTGCAAAAAATGTGTAATCCCCAAGTGCAAATCAAGAATTAAGAAATCAGACTTATTTTCTCAACCTTTGGAAACGTTCCCTAGAAAAACATAATATTGGTGTGAAGTGCTGTTCAAGGAAAATCACATGTAAAAAAAAATAGTTAAGTGTTCTTTAAACTATTTGTACCTCCATTTGTGTTTTTATGTGTTGTTTGACTCCTGATCCCTAAAGCCTCAGTTTTTACTTTTCTGCAGAGGTCAGTCTCTTTCTCCCTTCAGAGGTGTCAATGTTAAATAGAGTGTATTTTTTATCAGTCTTATGGAAAAAGGTCAGTTGTTCCTATCAGACCAGAGCTTTTACAGTGTTGCAACATCAATGAGGTTACACCAACCTACTTTTCTCTGAATGTACATCCAGTCTATCTGCTTCATTACATACAGTTCACACCTGCAGAACAATTCAGGACACTCTGTGTTCTAAAGTCACAAGTTGTTGTTCTTTGAAATTTGCTGGTTTTTGAAAACGCAAACCAACAACACACTAATTGTGTTTGTGTCAATGAAGTTGGAAGAAGGGTTTTGGTCAGGGTTAAAACTGCAGGACATTTACATGCTGACACTGTTGTCCTGTTTTGTTGTCACTTGTCAGAAGAGTACATTTACTTCTGTCTGATAAGCACATAGAGCACATAGATAGTGTACAGTGTATTTATCACATTGCTTGTTCATGTCTGTTTCACCTTTTACAATTTGCGATGATTTTGTTTATGAGAAATAGCTTTGATTTATAGTGTTTCTCATAGGAATCACAATAAAAAAAGAAACAAAACAGAGCTAGATGAAAATGGAGGGAAATCTAAAATACCTTACCCCTTCTAGTTTGAATGGAACAACTGTATGTGTCTGGTTGTGTCATGCTCAGAAGATCAAACATTTTTCAGAAAACATTCATCACAAAACATTCAAAATGCCAATGTAATTTAAAATGCAAAAAGAATAAGTAAGATTATTAGTGGCACGGGCTGAGCTCGAGGCCCTACTTGTACAGAGTACAAGTAGGGCCTCGGGCAAAGCCCGAGGCCACTATTGTTATCCTGGTTTTCTCTTCC